TGCTGATCAGGAAAGCTCATGGCCATCTTCCCAGTAGTGATTTGCTGGGAATTAAAGCCAATCTGTAGAGCTAAAGATTGGCTGGAGTTGTAGCTGAGGTGATTTAACTGCCACACTGGTTACTTAGCACCAGAGCTGAGACCGTGTATCCTCATTGTATAACAGTTGAGCTGTGATGAATTAGGAAAGTGGAAAATTTATCCTTGTTAAAGGAAAAGTGCTTTAAGGGCACTAATTTGTATATTTGTCTCTTGGGAAAGAATGGAAAGAACTCAGTTAAAACATAAATCTGTATCAACTGAATGATAGAATGGATAAGTGCATTTGTTCTTTGCATTTGAAGAGGTTTGGCTTCAAATCCACCTTACCTACCGGGTAGAACTGTGGGAAATTCTATGGCTGATTTGGTAGTGTTGGAGTGATCTTATGGTAGTGGTGGTCCAGGAAATAGGACTTCTTCAGGTCACCTGAAGAAAAATTCACTAACTGGCTAAGTCTATCCCAAGCATGTGGTTGATCCAGTAAAAGATAGCCATAAAAAATCTTGCCTCTTGTATAATTAATTTTATAACTTTTCGTCAATATTCTAGCCAGATCCCTTTTCCTAATTTTTTACCCCTTTTCTCTTTCATTTTAGATTGCTGCCTGGTGAAAAATTATATTTGGACCAAGCTTTATGTTTCAAATTCTAAGTCCTGTAGTGCAAAACCAGGCAGAGAGAGTTTCTTACATTTATAAAGGGGTTTGCTAGGAACTATTTTTTGCAAAGCTGCATGTTATATCTTATTAAATTCTTTTTGTTTTGGAACACAAAATCCAGGAGCTACTAAATCCATAAAACATATCCTGGATACATTTGAAAGCAGAAAATCTGAGACCCAAAGGATAAGTAGGGAACCAAAAAAGTAAGTGATGGAATATATTGTAAACTTAATCTTAGTAGGGTTACCTGGCTTTCTAGAAATAACTCAGTTTATAAAGTGAATGTATTTTCTTTTGTTTGTGCTAAAAACTGGGCTTTACTGGGAAGTTTTTGCCACATATACTAGATGAAGTAAATTGAAGAATCTTTCACATAGAGGTGGTAGCTGGACCCCCAAAAAAATATTCAGATGGTAAGGGTAGAGGAGAAAGAGGAGGTAGCAGTGCCACTCTGAAATGTTGTTGTGCTTGAAGTTGTTAAAGTTTTACTAGGACCCTAACTTTATTGTGACGTCAGCCCACTAGTTTTGGTTCATTGTGTGTCTACTGACTCTGTCCTCCTTTTATTGCAGTAAAACTGCAGTAAACTTTACTCTAAACAAATTTTTCAGTATATTTATTAAGTAAATGAAGAGAACCAAAAGAGAAATGTTAAGGTACTTGAAACTAGAAATTAAGTAGTTGTTATTTGTTTTTTAAAAAGTTTTGTTTAAGTCTTTCAGAGGCAAAAAATGTAATTAAAAAGTCTCTTTCTGGTACCAGTAAAATCTTTCAGGGTGAGGAGGAGTTGATCCACTGGTAGATCTTTTGTTTTAGCTCAACTGTTGCTCCAACTTGTTTAAACAAATATAGCAAACACACAGGAGGAAGTAAAGAAAGGGGATCAAAGAAAGAAGATGACTCTGGCATCTCTAATGTGTGCTTTGTTAATGTATTGTTAGCAGTGCATGATGTATAGTCAGCTCAGTATGGAACAAGTGTGCTTTAACTTCTCCAAGCAAGCTCATTCACTCAGTTTAGCTTGTCTAAGTAGGGTCCTGTACACTGTTCAGCCTTTGGTACTTATCACAGTGATGATACAGAATTCAGCTGATTTTAAGAACTGACCATACAATGCTAAATGAGAGGTAGGAAAGAATAAGAATAGAAAAAGAATGTGTCAAGCAGAAGAGGTGGTAATAGTTGTCTTAAAACTTATATCCATGGAGGTGTTCAGGATTGATAAGTGGGCAGTAGTAAGACTGTCTAATTCTTTTTTCATTCTAGTCTAAACATTCTTTTTCAAAATCAGAAAATGGTGTCCTAGTGTAGGAATGGTAAATCTCTGAATGTTGTGGTAGCGACCATGGTCATACTAATTAGTACTTTCTGAGACCCACAAGTTCATCACTACCCTTCTTAATCTTCCTTTGCACCTCATGCTCTCCCTTTTGAAAGTAATGTTCAAAAGATCAGGCAACCGTATTCTTTTAAATTTAACCAATGAAAACAGTTCTCAGTGATTCCTAAATATGTACTGTTTTGTATTTGAATGTCTTGGTTTGTTGCTAAAACAAATGTATAGCTTTATTGGGATTCCTAGTTGAGCTGTTTTCTAAAACGTATTATTATTTTTACAGTTTATTATTTGCCTTCCTTTTACCTATTTTGGCTTGGCTTCAGACCAGGGAAAAGAGCTGCAAGCCTCGGCATGCAACAGCTCCATCCTGGTAATACAGGAATGTTCATATTGAATTAAACCAGGGGTGAGCAGTTTTTGGGCTTGGGGGCACATAGAGAGTTTTGATGAGTTGTGGTGGGCTGGGTCAACACTTCCCCCCACTCTTCCTCCCACCTCCCCACAACAACTCACTAAGACTCCCTATGTGGGATGGAGCTGCAGTTGGGTGGGGAGTGGGATGGGCAGGTGAGTATGGGATCACAGGGTGAAGTCATGAGGTAGTAACAGTGTGGGGCTGGTGCCCAGGGAAGGGCTTCCTGCACACCTCTGCCCCGTGGGCAGAGTGTGAGGGGGGTCTTTTGTGTGTGGGGGTGGTGGG